AATTTTTTTGTGATTAGTGAGGATATTTATGTTATATCACATTAAATTACTAATATTAAATTACCCTGTACCTTCAAAATATGAAAAATGAAAAGAAGCACCAATCTCATGTTAATAAATTTATTCCCTGCGGACACAAACGACCTCACTCAAGCAACTATTCAATCGAAAGCCACTTCTCGGTCCCAGAACGAATATTCTCATTGTGCTCGAAAGGCCAAAAATTGTTTGTGAACTGAATCGAGGGATAAATAATTATAATCGCGGTTGCAGCTAAAAAAAATTGCTTTTATATCTGTGACGACTTTGCCACCGGAATGGGAATAAGACATGGAAAAAAATAATTAAAGAAACACGTGAGAGCAATTTGTCATTGCAATTTTATTGTTTGCTCAAAGTGACAAACAACCAAGCATCTCTGGTGAAAGGTTCTGCATTTAGCTCATCATTTTTACTTTCGTTGAGATGAAAAAATGCAGGTAACACGAATGTCGCTGATAATATTCACACACTAAAGCAACAATAAATTGGTCAGCCGCGGTGTTAAATATAATTGTGTAAAGATCGAAAATTAAATGTTGATTTGTTTATTGACACAATGACGGAGTTGCATGTTGATTGCGATTTTTTAGCGTTGTTTAAGCATTTAAATAATTTTAGTAGTTAATATTTTTACAGATTTTTGCGGCGAAATATATGAAAAATTAAATTTTTTATTTATTTCATTGTAAATTTTTAAAATTTACATAATAAATCATTTTCACTTTTGTAAGGTAAAAATAATTTTTGTATTTTCTTGCTAGTAAATATAATCCTCACATCATTCATTCATAATAATTCTTTGTTTTAGAAAACTATGATACTTATCGCTAATTTACGCTATGAATACATTTTCATTGTGAATAAAAAAAATATCCTGTGGTGAATTTTAATTCATAAAACTATGAAAATTTTGGCTTAAGAAGTAATCTTCTAGAATTTCACAAGCATGTTCGTTGTAATTTAAAATTAGTTTTTCAATTTTGAAAGACGTTTCATTCGTACGGCTTATTTTCTCCTCCATTATTAAAAAAATTCAAAGACACGCAGGAATTTGCACTTGAGACCCATAAATACTGACAAAATTAACACCTACACAGAATAATCATCATTTATTCCCTTTTCTTTTGCACTTTAACTCTTTCCTGAACACTTTTCCTCCTCATTACAGACCCGCAGTCACGTCTCTTTAATCCTCTCACACATTTTCACGCAGAATACAACTTCTCTCTTCAGATTTCTCCTTTGCATTGAAATTTTGACAGGGTGCGCGAGAGTTTTTATTACGAATTACTTTTCGCGCGGCGCACGCTCTTTGAACTTTTGTCGGCACAGTTTTCACACCATTTACCTTGAACCATTGCACTCCTTTTCTTCTGATTTATGATTTTCACATCTTTGACACCATCTCGGCACGCGGCATCGGAACTCGATTCAATTTCTTATCTGAATATGCATAAGTCGGCGCGGCGCTAAAAACAATTTGCTAATGGACGCACGACCAATATCATTGTTCTCGGAATCATTTTGCTCCAAAATGATTTGTATTTTGCGCTTCCTACTTGTCTTTCTAAAATTGCTTAATCAATATGCACGTGAGGCGAGACAATTAGGGAAAATATCATTTAAAAAATTGCATTTAGTTGTTCTTTGCCTGCTACTAATTACAGCGATGATTAAGTTATTCATGTATAAAGTAAAATAATTAGGCACTTTAAATGTAAAATTAGCTTTGTTTGAAATTCAGCAGTTATTTTTCCAATTACCATTAAAAAAAAATAGTACAGAAAGATTACAGCAACACTATGTTCATCAAATGTTCATTTATTTAATTAATCTCCAATCATAAACTCCGAAATTTATATTTTACATCTTCTATCCAATTTCAATTTAACTTACAAGTTTTGTGCATCAGGAAGATCTCAAGATTGGACGCAAATTAAATTTATCCTTGGCCAACAATGAATCTAATAGGATTTGATTAAAAAATATTTACGTTGATCGACTTTGAAATCCAGTTTAGAACCGGAGAAAACTTAAGGACAAGGCTAATTTTTGCATATGATTTATTTGTGTGTTGAAAACAAAAGGAGGAAAAAACAATCAGAGTCAAGGTGCGAACAAATCTGGCGAATCGTCCTGTTTACCCAAGTGTGTAGTTTGGAAAAGTGGAGGTTGCAGCCTCTGTAAGAAATGCAATGAAATTAAGCATAATTAGCATGGAAAAAGCATTACTCAGTTCGAGGCGATTCGAAAATTAATAATCGTGCTTCGCGGGCAAGGTCGCTCTCGTCTGCAATAATAAAATGAATTCTGGTTCGTCGTGCGCGCGTGAACTAGTTCTGTTTTTTCTTCCCGCGCCGCGTCGATGAAAGCAGGATTTGATTCCTGCGAATTTGATACACACAGGCGAGCAAACAATGCAATCAGATTATAATAATTGGGTTGACGCAACGAGCGCGAAAATGCGTGTCTATGCAACTCGACGCTGAAACAAAAGTGCAAGTGTGAGAAAAACGTAATAAACTAGAAATTATGTCACTCTCCGCTTCTCGTGTGATTTTGCGTAGAGCTACCGTTGCCGTGTCAGAAAGTATAAAAAATTACATACAATCTACGCTTAAAAATAAAGTTTAATTTTAAAATAAACAAACTAATTTTTAATATGCAAGCGTTATTTTTAAAAAAAATTATTGTTAATTTTGTGAAAAAAGATATTTTTAACATTTTGAAATATATTTTATTTATTTATAGTGAATTGTTTAATAAGTATTGCCACTTTTAAATTATTGCATTTTTTTTAAAAAAATGAGATTTTTTAAATAAAATATTTGAACTAAATAAAAAATACTTTTTATATTAAATTTTCAAGCCATTTAGCCTCTTTTATATAATAGATTGGGTATTTTAGAAGCCTAAATTAACTAAGACCTCTTCATTTTTCGTTATGTCGTTTTTATAAAAAAAAAAAGGAAAAAAAGGAAGGAACTTATAATTTAATATCAAAACTTCCACTAAATTTTACTGATCATTTCTTAACACTTCTTTTACCCTGACGTATATATTGATTATCTTTTTTATTTTTAGGAAGTTTTACCAAAAACTTTTGATAATGTTTAACAATATTAACTAATAAAAAAATTTAATTAATGCAAAATTTAAAAAAGGTAAAGAGTTTTAAAAGAATCTGGCTTAAAAAAAAGGTTTGAAAATATTAAAAAATGTTAGAAAATACTTTCAAGAGATTATAGAGGAGCAAAATATTTTTTTTTGTCAAAAATAAAAATAATATTTTAAAATTTTTCCACGTCGATTGTGCAACAGTAGAGTGAATTTTTTAAAAGCTAAAAGTCATAGTAATACAAAGTAACAAGATGATTATTTAATTTTTATTATTGCTTTAAAACATAATATATTTCAAAAAGCCGTCAGTCAGAGTTGATTGAGTCTGAATAAATTATTGAATCGTCGTGCCAGTCGATCTTTGCTAATTGCTTATTTCGCCGAATAAACTAGTTGTACTTTTTGCTGTTTGTTTGTTTTGATAGGTGTTGTGGTGCAAGCGGCAAATCGACGAGCGAGGTGAAAGGCACAATTGCTTATTTGCATTGCGAATAAAAATACTTGGACCGCGTTTATATCTGAGGCTAATAATATTCACGCGCAGCATCAAATTGGCCTACATTGTCGTTCTCGCGACCGCATAAAAAATTCGTTGCGTAAAACGAGAGCACACCGAAAGTGACACTTTTGAATCAACGCAGATTTTTTTTTCGTACACCAGGGAAATAATTATGCGCGCGGAAGAAAACACCAATTAGCTCCGGGTTAATTGGTTGACGTAACGTTTTTGAGGTAATGAAGCATCTTCCTCTGTTAATGGGCCGCAGAAATCAGGACACTCTCGCTTGAGGAAGTCGTAAAATGAGAGTTTGCGTGCTTCTGTCTGTGATGTCATTGCTAAATTTTTTAATCAAATACATTATAATATAAAAAGTCTACAATTAGAGGATTTCTATTTTTTTACATCACTTTCAGATACAGAGAAATTTCAGAAATACTGCAGAACAAAATTGCACTCCCTTGTTCATTGAAAAAATATTTTAGGTTCAAGAAAATTATTTTACTACAAATTAAGAAAAAAAAAATGGATTAAGTTTTAAAAAGTTATAATAATTGCAACATTTCTTGACGGAAAAGTTAAATTTTATATTTTAATAAATTATATGCAAGCCAAAGATGAATTTACTGACAAAGTCTAAAATTTCCTTAATTTTGTCTTTGCCATTTTTTACTGATTAAAAAAAATTTACTTTTCAAAAATAAGTCTATTCTCAAAATTTACGGAGTGAAAAAATCTACTCATAATTCAATAAGTGAAATTATTGTATCCTTTATTCCTACATCAAGCGAAGGGTCGTTAAAGATTGAGCAATGCAATGGGAGAAAAATCATTCTCTTTGTTCTAATCATTTCTTAGAATAATTAATTTATAGTTTGCTATAGAGGTGTTCTTGTAGTTGTTGTTGTGGAACCTTTTTCGAGGAACCAGTTTCATTTCATCCTTCTGACGAGAATAGAGCTCAGGAATTAGGGTTGAAACCCGCAACTGAAACTAGTAGAGCAGGGATTTTATGTTCATCCAGAAACAATAAAGATGCTCATCTTTACCGAGGAAGCCCGATTTTATCTCATACTTATTTCTAAGCTTCAATGAAGTTAAAATAAAAATTTAAATAATTACTCTACTGTATTTAATTTCAGACGAAGTTTGACTTGGAAAATAAATAACTAATTTAAATTATATTTAAAGATGCAAATTATTCCATATTTTATCCAAATTATTGAAATAAGGAGTTGCAAAACGAATCTTTATGGCATTCAAAATTGATATTATTACAATTTTTATTTCACTTAAGAAAGCTATGCCCGTTTGTAATTCTTGTTTTTTGTTTTTTCAGTTCTTCTGGTCTCGCTTTGCAATGCTCAAACGCGAAAGGTAAGTTGTTTTAAATTATTTATCGTCAGAATTATTATTTTTTGAATCATCAAATTCATAATTTTGATCATAAAAAATCCCCGTTTTGGAAAGTTTTACATCATCAATTAATTGTAAGCCGCTTTTTAATCTTACGAGACAGCAGCAGTGTCTTCAGAAGTTTTTCTCTTTATAAGAAATGTTTCTTTGAGCGTTTGTTAAGAAGATTACAGTGAGGCGACTAACGCCATTAAATAAAGAGCGGTAATACCCCTTTGATTGTAGAGTAAACACACGTGTACTTTACGCTGCAGTGAAAGTAATTTCTGAAATAATATATTATTTTATTATCCGCGGTCTGCTTGCCAAGCGTCGCACCTCCTAATGATTAATTTTAATTTCGCATCGACCCGGGTGGCGCTCGAATAATAATTCTCCCCAGCACAAGTAAAAGGTCCTACAGAGAGAATTCGCGAGTTTTTTTTCAAGCGAGCGAGGCTTAATAAATTTCTTGTGACGCGATCGGCCCGTGGGAAAAGAACTCACTCGGTTGGCTAATTGTGTCTCGATGAATTAGCTGAGAGCATCATGGCTATGTATGAGTTACGCTTGCTATAAAATTGGAGCGACGCGCTAACGAAACTTGAGCTCTCTTATAATAATTCTTAAAGCATGTTATTATATTACTATACTTTAGGTGTATAACAAAATTTGAATGTTTTAAAATTAATTATTATTTAAATTGGGTCTTATATTAAAATTAAAAAAATTATTTTATCTTTATTTATTAATATTATTATTTTATTTTTAGTTTTTTTTTTATTTTAATCAAAAATTTCAGTATGAAAAATATTATTTTTTTTATTTCAAATGTGATAATTAGTGAAACGTAAAATTCGATAAACAAGATTGTTGGTTTCTTTCCAATTGTTACTTCTAGCTGCAGGTGTTAAAAAATAAATTATTGACGTAGCCTCCACTCGTTTATGCAGCAAAAATATCTATTTTTAATGAATAGATCGCGTTCAAGATAGCTCATAAAAATTAAATTTTCAATACCTTGGCTTTTGAAGACATATCACAATAATAATTTGAAAGAAAAATTTAAATTATGAATTTCCTGGATTTTGTCTTAACGCAAAATCACTATTTTGTGATTTTTTTGACAAAGTGATGAAATTTAAAAACAAAAAATCACTGAAATTGTCAGTAAATTAAAATTTATCTATATCATTTATAACTGTTAACAATTTTTGTTTCATAATGAAGTTAAGATACTTTTTTACAATTGAGGCACAGATTTACAAATTAAATTCAATTTTTGATTACAAATAGCAACAAAAGTTTTTTTCTTTTTCAACAATAAAAATATTTAAAAAATTGACTCGCTCGATATTTTGTGTGCATCTTGATAACTCCCGCACGACGATCATCAAGGAAATTCGTAAATTGGCCGTGCAAATGTAGCTGATTTCTCTATTAATTTCGCGCTCAGCACAGGTGAAAAGATCGACTAGAAAAGGAGAAAATCCCGGCATGGCCAATTACGAATTTATCCCAAACGCTTTTCGCGTAAAAAATAAAATACGAAAAGAGGAGTTTGACTTTTCCGCTCCACAATTAACGATTCCTTTCTCAAAAGACGAACAATAAGAGGATCCCACACACACACACACACTCAAAAGAAAGTACCAACGTGCAATTCATTAATTTAAAAACGAAAAATGATGAGTGATTTGGCTGATTGTAATTATATGTGATCTGGATCGTTGGCTCAGCGTCACGCGCGCCAACTTTTGAGTGACCTCTGGCTCTCGGCGGGGTCACCCAGCGAGTATCTCACACGGTGCGCGCATCCATCTCTCTCTTTCTAGCGAGAGCCAATTTCGTCCAATCCTCTCCGCAGCAGGTAGGCGGCAGCAATTTTTCAATGCCGCCGAGATCACCCAGAGAGCTTTCTCTCAATTCGCTGCCCGGCAAGAGATCTCCGAGATATAAAAAAAATTGTCTCGAATTTCATTCGCGTGTCATTAGGTCAGATTATAGGCGGATTTCATTGATGGAAACATTGAGCTTAAAAAAATGATCTCTTTTAATATTCATATAGTTTTTTTTAAAGTTAATAGTATAATAAAATGTAGAGCTAATAAAACTAAAGCTATTTTCAATAGTTTTTAATCGTTTTAAATTAATTTTTATAAGTTTCTTATATTCTTTATTATTATTATTTTTTTAACTAAATGCTTACACTAAAAAACAGATTTTGAAGGTATTTTAAATGTAATTGAATGAAATGAATAGAAAAATGTAAATAAATAATTAATATATCGTAATTATTTATTAAATCTGCAGGTCATAATGTAGAGGTTTCAACAAAGGCTCCTGTGGGACTGTTTCTTTTTTGTATCAAAATTTGCATTATTCATCCTAAATTATAACTTACCATGCAAGTAAATTATTGAATGAAACAAAAATAATACATCCCATTCTTCAATTTAGCAAGATGGATGTGAGCTTGGGCTCAATTACCCAAATTTCAACAACGACAAATTATTAAGGCCAAAACGTGGAATTTTGCAAGCGCTCTCAGTGAACTCCACAGTCGCATATTGCGACGTCTCGCTCGCATCGTACGTAATCTCGTTTTCCGCGTGTAATTATACGACCCGTCGAGACGCAAACATCATACTTGCGAGCACGACCTGTGCTCAACGACAAGATCTCAATATTCACGACGAATGCACGAATCGGCGATTTTCCCTGTAAAATTTCACGTGTACTCGAATTTTATAAAGGCCCGCGCATATTATCACTTGTTGTGAAATTATGTTGAGGAACATCCGCTGTCTTGGGGAAAATATTTTAAGAACAATTTCAACCACATTTGAGCAATAAAGTTTTCCTTATTGATGTTGCGGGGATTAATTGATGATAATAATAAATTTTCTCAAAAAATAATTATATGAATGGAAGTTTAAGATTGTCTTCCCAAAATATGGGTTGAATGCGGAGGTTTCGTTTTGTTTTATCGCAAACCAAAATATTTTCTGCCTCTTTAACAAAATATTTTTATTACAATTTTTCAGCGCCAAGCCTCGAGTGCAGATTACGACGAGGTGGTGAACTTCAATCAAGGAGGAGAAGTTTTTGACGCCGACCCTCTGCTTTTCTTGAGTAATTTCTACACAAATTTGCATCAAAATAACCAATGCATCTTTTTATAGCTTATGCATGAATTTAAAAATTTATAAACTGAATAAAAATTTGAAAAATATAAAAAAATCTTAAGTAAATAGATTGGATTTATTTTTGTAATTTAAATTTGATATTATAGTTGTCATTTTACCACCATATAATATTGAAATGTGATTTTTCTGTAGACCTTGGAGGCAGCCCCGGAATTGACTTTCCGATGTACAGAAAAATTCCCAAGACCTCTTTCTCCTGCAAGAAAGTAAAAGCTTCCGGCTACTACGCCGACATGGAAACCAACTGCCAAGTAATGTTTAAAGTTTATATTAGAAAAAAATATTAATAAAATTTTCAAAGGTGTTCCACTTGTGCGAGAATGGTCGAAAACTGTCCTTCCTTTGTCCAAACGGCACCATTTTCCGGCAGTCGCGGATGACGTGCGACTGGTGGTATAAAGTTGACTGCGGCGCCTCCCTGGAGTTCTACGAGTCGAGCGCCGAGCAGCTTCGGCAGGACCGAAACACGCCAAGGTCCGGCCAAAACCAACCCCTCAACTTTGACGACAAACCTGTCCCTGTTCTCAGCAAAAGCAGTATGGAAAATTTTCTTCTTATTATAAAAAAAAATTACTCTATTAATAAATTAAAATGGCCAAGTAAAATAAATGAGCAAGATGATAAAAATTAAAGGAGAAGTCAAATAAAATAATTGAACAAAGTAAAACAAAATAGTATGTTTATTAGAATCGAACAGTTTGGAGTCTCAAGAGGTGGCGGAAACAGGGTCGCTGATCATCAACCTGGCCAAGAATCAGAAAAACAAGGCGGCAAATGGAACAACTGAAACTGAGGCAGGCAGGAGCCTTTTCAAGCTGAACAAACCCAGGCCGAACACGACGCCTGCCAATTTCGGAACCAAGAAGAGCATTTATGTGCCGACTGTTCCGTCCATAACCTCAAAAGCCACCACTACAGCAGCCCCTGTCACGACCACTGAGGTACGTGTTGGGCTTTTTCTTAAAATTGATTTAACTGCAAAATTGAAATTTGAAATTAACTTCTAATAATTGGAATTTTTAATTTCAATTTAATATAATATTATATTTAATATTTATTTAAAATGTTTGTTTTTAATTTTACTTCCTATAATCTTAAATAATCTTAAATCCAATAATCCTATTATTCTACTTCACAACAGAAATATCAAAACAATAATTTTTTCTTTATAAAAATTATGACTGACGTAAGCAAATTTATTTTAGCTCATTTTTATGAGTTAGTATCAATTTATTTCTCATTTCTCACAGCAACAAAAGAAAAATCAATTTCAATTTTAATCTTTGCCTCTATTAATCAACGTAAACAAATACTAAATTAAAATACTTTTATAAATAGCGTTTTGAAATTATTACTTTAATTTAAATTTCTTAATTTATTTAGATTCTGACCACAACCTTTGAGGCCACGACGTTCAGCGACTACGATCAAATAGCAAACTCAGAATCCCTGCAGGGCAGTCACAGCTCATGGTTCAACTCCCCCACAACTCAGCCACCAGTCACAGAGCCAGTGAGTTAAAACTTGACGTACTTTATTCTTGACTTTCAATTATCCTTACAAAACCCTAAGTCGGACGGTTCCCATTAAAGCGCTTCATAACTAGTTTATATAAAAAAGATATGCAAATTTTAAACAGATTATATTTATCTTTTATTGTAAAATTAAATGTTGAAATTACAAACTTTGAGCAAGCGCCTGCAGTAATACTGGTTTTATAATCTATAACAAGCCGAGTGAGTGTCAAGAAATTACATTATTCAATCATAAAAGAAAAAGTTTGCTCGGAGCAACACCGTCATCTTGATTTTTCTCATTAAAAAATGAATAAAATCAATACAAATGAGTATCAGTGACGTCGATCTGCTAATTTGCCAATCAGTATTTCATCTGCAGGTGCCGCGCGATTTAGCACAATCCACGCCCATGCATAATCGCAGGGCGCGCGTGCCATTTTTCAGTCACTGTGATTTTTAAATGTAAGACTCGCTCGTTGCAGCAATCGATCTCCGAGTTGGTCAACACGCTGCAAAATGTGCGGAGGAGCGACGAGGGCCGCGCTGGAAGGGCGCAACGACTGGAGGACGTGCCGTTGGTCGCCAGACCGCAGACCTTGCACTCGCTGGCCACCTACTTTGCTGCCGACAATAAGACTCGGCAGGAGCTGGACAAAGTGGTACGCCCGAAAAATTGAAATTTATTAAAATATGATTAAATAATGCTCAGTTAACGAAGGTTTTGTAACTTTTCCCAGTAGATTGAAAGATTATATGCTTTTATCATTTATATTTCCATTTATTTTTTACATTTTATTTAATAATGAATTACATCGTTGACCAAAGTCCAACTTCAGTTATTAAACGCGTGTCTATTGTATTCTTATTCACGTATTCTGCATAATTAAAAATAATAATAAAAAATCATTTAAAAATAGTATTTTAAATGTTAAGTTGTATAATTAAAGACGTAAAAGTTTATTTTTAAATTAACATTTACTTTTTAAGTGTCTATTTTACAGAATCTTTTAAATCTGCAAAATGTATTGTTTTTAAAATTTTTAACAAACGAGACTTGAACGCTTGCAATTTTTAAGTCGTCTATACTCTTTTCAGGTTCCCGAAGACCAAAAGCTATTGATGCAGTCGATCATGCGCGAGCAGAAACAGCAGAACTCAAAACTCAACACGTCCAACCCCGATTTGCGCCACTTGGCCAAGATCTTCAGCAAGGCCCTGACCGACTACCTGCACGACCCTGAGACCTTCCGCGAGTCCCTGAATGCCGTCCACCCCACCCCTCCCCCTCTCCCCCTTGTCAGCGACAACCTTTTGCTTGACGAGGACAAAGACGAAGTTCTCGATTTCTCAGACGCTCCCCAGACCAAACCTTTCCGGCCGACGACGACCACAACCACCCCTGAACCTCCCACCACCGCTGCATTCGAAGACCCAGTGACCAACCGACGCAACGACGTGGCATCTAAGGTCAACGAAATCCAACAGGAGTATCTCTCGGCCAGGAGATTTCCGGACGGAGCTTCCTTCGTCACCCCGACGGACTTCACCAGCCCCGATGTGGACGAACGGACCTATTTGCCAAACACCCCCGAAGTAGCCGCGGCCAACCTGGTTGACGCCATTCCCACCCCTTCCTCCTTCCCCATCAGCCCTGAAAAGATCCCCTTCACTTCTCCAGAATTTTACCCCAACGCCCGGGACTATGTTGAAATCGGATTCCAACCCTCCCTGGCTCGCACCCCCACCGGCAGGAGTTACTTTGACCCTTTGCAGGTCCCTCAGGTCGATTTCCACCCTCCTCAGTACGACATCAACCAGTTCGTGCCCTCCGACCTGAACTCCCTCTCCATCCTGAACATCGAAACGCGTCCCAGTCCGACTCAACCCCCTGTCTCCGTTTCAGTCCACATCCCTAAGGGCATCGACCACCGAGTGACCATCGTGTCCTCTCCCCAAAACATCCACGTCAGCAACCAACCCTCCGTGACCCAAAACCGGCCCATGATCAGCAAACTGCTCTTCCCCCTGCCCTCCGAGTCACTGGTGTCCGAAGGAACGGCCAGTTTCCCCAACTCCTTCCGGTCGGCCAAGAGCAAGCAGTTGGTAGAAAACTCGATCGACGGCGTTTCCAAGTACGTCTCGCAGTCCATCCCCGCCCCCACGACCCCCGCAACCACCGTCGAACCCATCACCGAGTTCATCCCTTCGACCACCGAGGTCCCGACAACCCTGCCGCCAAGCACCACCACCGAGGCCGTCACCACCACTGAGGTTGTGCCTCGCGCCAGGAAAGTGGACGACGGAAGCGACGACTCGAAACTGGTGCTGCTGCTCGTGAAAAACGCAGCCACCACCCCCGGCCCGTCAACCCCTTTCATCAGCAAGACGATGCTGATTGAGGCGCTGCTCAAGTCTCAGCAAGAGAAAAATAATCAAGGCATATAAATTTGTGTAGTAAACTAATTTTAAAATAATAAATGTTTTTATTGCTAATAGTGGATGTGCCAAAAGTGGGTGTCAGCTATGCGACGGTGCCCTCTACAACCCCTATATTCCAGAGGTTGGTGAGCAGCACTCCTGAAGCCACTACTTACAGGCAAGAAGTTTTGTACAATATCACATATTTTATTTAGATAATGAGATGGATATTGTATTAAAGTATAAATAAAATTTTGGAGCAAATCCTTATTATGGTGAAATGGCTGGCGGCCCTGAAAAAGGGCAATTTTTTCATAGTGTAAATGTTAAAAAAAAAAATCAGAAATGATAATTTATTATCAAGATATATTGAAAAATTTATAACAAAAATTTATTTCGAATCAACAACTTTTATACTTTCCCAAAATGGCAGCAATTACACATGGTTTGGGAAATTTTGGTGCTTAATTGATTTGGAAAGAAAAAAAATTAAATTGAAAGCGTTTGAATTTTTATGGTATCTTTCATTAACGATTAAATTTTTAGGGCCTTAGGCAGGCTCTCAAGATTTTTAATTGAAAATTAAATTACATAATATAATTATTGAATACAATTTTAATTATATCTTTAAAGTTTTAATTTTTATTATTATTATTTTTTAGTGTGAATAAGAGTAATATTTTATTTCTCTCTCACAGGAGTGCGAAACATGCTGAGATTTTGCAAAAGATCAAAGAAGAGATCGAGAAAAAGGAGCGCGAATCCAGCACGGAGCAAGCAGTGGTTGTCGAAGATTTGTCGGGAGATGCGTCTTCAGGCAGGACGGCGCGCAAGAGCAGCCTCAACCACTCCGACTCGCGAGCACTAGACATCCTAAAGTCACTCTACTCTCTGGCGACGAGGTGGATATAATTAGCCTGAAAATAATTTATAATTGCTGCGAATTTGCCAATAAAGGATCGATCGAAAGTTCTACTAAATTAAAAATTCTCGGAAATTTTCTTCTTCCGAATTTGTCAACGAGTGGCAAAAAAATCGCGATCCGAGAAGCCTCAATTTTATACGCCTTATGATTCGTGTCTGTGCCTTATTCACGCGAATTTCCAGAGTTGTGGTTGCAGCTGCTGCAACAAGTGTATGAATATTATAATGTATCTACCTAAGTGTCCGCGTGCACCTTGAATAAGTGTCATTGTAGATATAGAACAGTATTTTTCTCACAATCTCAAACTGTGTGGAACATTAATTTGTCTCAATATTTTTTTGGAATAAATATTATTGTGTGCTTTAAAGAAAAGCAGGAAATGTTATAATTGAATTGATTTAATTTATTTTGGCTTGTCAATATTCAAAATTTTAAATTTACCATTTTTTTCATATGATATCATGATTAATTAAATGTACCTAAAATTAAGTAACATATAAATATTTGTTTGGGGATGATTTAGTGAATACAAGTGTAGTTGTTGGATTCGGAAAGTAAATTTTGTAAAATAATATTCAATAAATTTGAGCAGGTTGTTAAGTGGAACTAAACTTTTTTGATTTTACCCTAATTAAGTATAAAAATATTATAATTTAGTATATTCAGAAGTAAAAGTAAAGTTATACTTTCATATGTATATATTAATTAATAAATTCCATTTGTAAAATTTAGATTGAAATATTTTGTGTTTTCAGTTTCGCAATAAATTATTTATTCAGACATTTTTCAATAAATTAGTAGGGGTGGGCGACAGCGGGGGAGGCGTAGGCGGAGGCCCTCAGGGCGGGGGCGCCATAGTGAGCGACGGGGGCGGCATAGTGGGCGACGGGGGCGGCATAGGCCAGGGGAGCGGCGACCTTGGCGACGACGGGGGCGGTGTAGGCGTGGGCGACGGCGGGGGCGGCGTAGTGGGCGACGGGGGCGGCATAGGCGACGGGGGCAGCGACCTTGGCGACGACGGGGGTGGCGGCGACGGCGACCTTGGCGACGAGGGGCTCCTTGCGGACGACGGCGTTGAATCCGTTGATGGGGTCGGCGGTGTAGTCGACGGTGCGGCGGGTGCCGTCGGGCTCGGTGAGGGAGTAAGATCCGGTGACGACATCACCGTCGCGGGACTCGTGCTGGCTCTTGCTGTCGCCGGTCAGAACGTCCTGCACGTCGTAGGCGTACGAGTACTGGGGATGAGGGTCGTAATCGGCGTTGACGGCCACGGCGGCCTTGGCCAGGACGGGCACGGGGGCGGCGGCATAAGTGGCCACGGCGGGCAGAACGCCAGCGCGGGCAACGGCGATCAGGGCGGCGAAGGCGACGAACTGAAGCACAAAAATTATTGCAATCATCAAATAAACATCAAATTTAAATGAAACCGAATGAAATACGGAATTAACCAGAAAAATGGTTAATTTTTTAAATCAGAATTTAATGGGTACTGAATAAGAATTATTTTAAGTTACAAGCTTTGAAAAATGTGAGTATTATTAATTTAATTTAAAAAAAAGTCTAAAATTATTAATATTTGCAAAAGAAACCAATAAAAATAATAATTTCAAACCGGTAAAATTATTATTGTGTTAAATTTTTAATAATTTAATTCGAAATAGAATATTAAAACTGTAGATGAATAATAAATATGTTAAAAAAATATATATAAATTAAATGAAAGTAATAAAAATTATAATAATGTTGGAAAACTCAACAATTCAAAATTAATTTTAAATCTGAAATAAAAATTAAGCACAGTTTTAAATTTTTTTAAAAATCAAATAAAGAAAACAGCATTTTTAATTTTAAACTGAAGCTGGGGACAACAGAAAAATTAAAGCGATTTTCTTACTTTGAATGCCATGTTGGTCTGCGTATCGTTCAGGATTGAATGATGCCGTCCAAAGGTGACCGCCGCCTTTTTATACCCGTCTGAGCTGGCGTAACCCTGGCCGTGTGTGTCTGCGATTATCTAACCCTGGTTATCCGGAGCAGAGCCGCCTTAAGGGCCGAAATGCGCTGAGCGAGCCAGTCAGGGCGGCCTTGCCACACCTCGAGAGCGGCAACCTTAGCAGGGAGGGGCATTTGTCGGGCCACAAATATTAGCCTCCTACGAGAAAGAGAAGCTGCGGCTCCAGCATCACGTACATGTATATTATTTTGAGAGAGAAAAATGTGGGTCACGACAGCTTTGACAATTAATCGCGTGCGAAACTGGATCGTCTGACCGACGGTCAACTCCTCTGTCTGAAGATATGATAATTTCAAATATGATTTTCCTATCATAAAGAAGGAATCCTGCGCTGCGCCTCGATGGTAGAATTCATTGACATTGGACCGCGAGTAAGGCCGCCCTTCAAATTGGTGTAATTATTGAAAAGGTTGAGCAACCTGACGCCTGGTAGACAAACAAAGGCAGATAGACTGAAGTTTTTTTCTAATGATCATTATCCTTCGTCTAATGACCGCCGTCTAATGTGTGCAAATTTGTTCCACTGTTAATTCTTTGCGTTGGTTTTTACATTGTTTGTTAATGTTTTGAAGAGAAAAAAAGATATGGCAGTTTTATCCAATTCGTCCACAAACAGCTTAAGTAAATTATAATTAATTATTGATTTTCTTTATTTTAGCCTAGAAAATACTTAATAAGTTTTAATAACTCCTTTTTTAAATGAATTAAACTTTTAAGTACCTCTATATTGATAAAAAAAACTTCATAATTAGTATTTATTTTTAATGCACACATTTTAATAAATAACCGTGTTGCAAGAAATTAATATAGTTGCAAATTAATATATCTCTATTTTTTTTTTTTTTTTTTTTTTTAATTTTATCCACGTTTGTTTTTAATAATATATTTTGTCTCAAGATCTATATTTGTTAGAAAGGGTTAAATCATGATTGCGTATGAGATCTTGCAAGAACACAATTTTTGGGCAAAACCAAATTTAACATAAATCAATGAGTAATCGTGACCATAAGACAGCAAGAATGAATCAAATCATTAATTTTTCTACTTACGACGAAAAAAACGCAATCTCGACCTTCAATCGTTACAGACCATATCTGGTATTACTAAATAAACACTTTACACTTAACTTATAAATCACAAAAAAAAAATTGTATTGACCGAGAATAATGACTGGTGCAAAAACAATTGCAAAAAATATATGAAGTAAAAAATGAAATTAGTCTCATTCAACCTCCGCGTGATGTAATTATGGGTTTTCTGAGCTAAAAAAAAAACAGTTAGTTTTGATAAAAAATTGTAACTGTGAAAAAAAACTGTCTATTAAAATGAACTATTTTTTTTAATATAAAAACTAAAATTAATGTACTAAATTTTGTAATGTTTCATGTTCCGGTGATTTTTGTTATATATTTATCGTTTTTGTTGACTTTTATGATCTGATCAGCACTTAATCAAAATGTGTTAATTTTTGCCTGTCAACGCCGTTCAAACTAATCGGCAATAAAATTTTAACGACGTATTTAAGTGGATTTATTATGTAAGGAAAAAACAATAAAATTTTGGCAGGTTTTGCCGCGACGAAACTTGAACCGAGATCGTAATTACCTCCCGCAAGCATAATTCCAATGACTTTATTACCTTGATCGCTCTGGGACCACACGCGGCCACAGTTGTGAAAAAAGCGTGTCGTTCAGTCCCATCCATAGCCACTAGTGCGCACTGTTAAAATACAAATTTTCAAATAAATTTTTTTGATATTTTAAATTTATAGTTTGAAAGTCTTTTTGTTAAATTTATAGCTTTTTACCTTTCAGATCGAATTGAAAGTCTAATCTGAATCACGCCCAAGCTCTTTATTTATTCCAATTAACACCACCATTACACATTTTGATAAATTAACCCCATTCTAGCGTAGCTACAAGCGACAGTAAAAAAAGTAGGAATTGCTCATGCACACGCGCGGGCAATAAGTAGAACCACATTCAATAAAGCCGGCGATGAAAGTGAGAGTCGGGCGCCAATCATAACTTATGATGACGTGTGAGAGAACAACAATTCAACAAAAGAGTCTACATAAAATCGTAAATAATTGGATAGTCTCGCCACCATTGCATTACGTTATTGTTCCTCTCTGTCAGCACTGGAAAACCAGATTAATTGCGGTGATAAGAATGAACGTGCAGCGTCGCTCTCAATTATGCTTGAAATGCCAAAAGATCGTCATCGAGAGTTCACCCTCGCCAAGTTAGGCATTCCACTTGTCGTCACGGTCGCGCCGGTTGCATAACAACGCTGCAGGGGTTGCGCATAACACGATGATGCACTTTGTGTGTATTTGATCTTCACACTTTTACGAGCAGCACGGATGAATTCGCGAGTGATTAATTCATTTCGAGCGGCGAACGGCGAGTTGGTCAAGGTTCTTGAGGTCGTTCATTACTGGTTTCTGCACGAATTAAATTGGATAAAAAAATCGCGTGAGAATTATATGTGCAGATGGAAAGGTAAAATAACTTGAACTTATAAAATTGAAACAATACACATCAAGTCTGCGATTATGACTATTTACTAAAATTGTTAAAATTAAAATTAATATTTAAGTAAAAATTGGTACATTATTAATAAAAAATTTGGTTCAATGAAAGTTTATTTAGTTTGAAAGCTAATACAATTTTACATAAATTTTATAGAAATTGTTTATTACTCGTTGATTTGACACTTCGTGATTTTTATTTGAAAAATAGCAAAAATAAAAAGATTGAAACTTGCATTGCAATTTTTTTATTTTTAAAATGAATCAATTTAGATGTTTGAAAGTTGACCAATTTAAATTACGAACAGCAAAAAATAATTGTGATATAAAAATTATATCCTTACGTAAAACCTTGTAGTTTCACATCCAGCAACGCGCACTTGCAATTCAGGTTGCATACCTTGTACCTTTCGATCGACTCGGACGATTCGCAACTCTCACTCGCCTCACCGTAAAAAATCTACTCGCATGTCGGATGGTAATTGTTAGAGCCGCAACGCAATTGAGCTTTGGTTGCCCAACACTTTTGGAAACAACTCATTATTGGTCACTTTCAGAGGCGTCAGACAAACCCCTTCGCGGTGTAAAAGTAATAATGATAATGACTCTCTGTAGCATCATTTTACAATACGCGCACGTATGTACTAATTAAAGGGAAATAAAATACTCTCCGTTAATTATGATGCAAGACGAGTATTTTACCATTGCGCGAATCATGCAAAGTTATTTTTTGAAAGCTGAAAGGAAGATTTATTGCGGCGCATTCTACAAGTGATGCGCGCCAAGAATCCGGTGAGCATATAAATTTGAATGTAACTCGGATTTATTACTCTCGGTGCCAAGTGTTTATGATGAATGGACAGATTTGCCAAAAAGAGGAAACAATGGCCGCCTGCCAAAATTTTATTTTATGTGTTCCTGACCAATTATACTTTCCCTCCGGATTTAAAAATTCAATTTTTTTTTGCGTCTGCAAGTTTCAAAAAACAAAGAATATTATTTTATCGTTTTCACGTGCATAATGCTTTATTGTTTCACTTCAAAACACAAAGCTTGGCAAAGTCTTGCCAAAATGTTCAGGCACTTGTTGTTATATTATAAATAATTTGGTGGAAAGTGCTTTTCTGTACAATACATGATGCAAAAAATTAAAAAAGTGTTAAAAATGCCATAAAACAGGACCACTATTACTAATCCGCTTTTCTTAAAATTTACATCGGTACAAAAAATGGTAACTTCTTCTTTATATGTTATAAAAAAATCACACTGGGTAACTTCTGTTGTATTTGAGCTTGTGAAAATTCTCAGCGGGAATGGCTCAGTCAAATTTGCGAGCGAGCAGAGCCGCGTACTTGGCAGAAATTAAATAAAACTTGAAGATCGCGGCCCTGGGCTGGAGCTTCTTTAGTAGGGTGGCAGATATTCACGGTTGGGAGCGGTGACGGGATCATCTCCCTGGTTGAAGTTCTGGTTGTTGCCCTGGTTGTTTGGTCTCGATCCTTGTTGGTTCGGCCTTGATCCCTGTCCGGGGAAGCTTCCTCCGTTTCCAGCTCCCTGGCCTGGGAAGTTGCCACCGTTTCCAACACCCTGTCCAGGGAAGGAACCTTGGTTGCCACCCTGGCTGGGCCCAGTCTGGCTGAAGCTTCCCTGGCTAGGGCCAGTAAGGGAAGATCCTCCTTGGGTAGGTCCAGTTTGGCTGAAGCTTCCCTGAGATGGTCCTGCAAGGTTTGATCCACCCTGGCTAGGGCCGGTCTGAATGAATCCTCCCTGGCTAGGTCCGGACTGCCCAAACGATCCTTGGCTAGGTCCCGTCTGACTGAAGCTTCCCTGGCTGGGGCCGGTGAGGGAAGATCCTCCTTGGGTTGGTCCGGTTTGGCTGAAGCCACCCTGGCTAGGGCCCGACTGAGAAGAACCGCCCTGGTTGTTTTGATTGGCCGACTGGCTACCGTCCTGAGAGTAATCGTAGATGTTGGCGTTGTTTCCGAACAGGCTGGGGGCAGTGCTGCAGTCAAAGTCGCTCCACCACACGCAAACAAGATAACCCTGATGGAAGATGGTTCCATTGGGGCACAGGAAGTCAAAGGTACGGTTGTTGGCGCAGACGTGGAACACCTGGCAGCGAGTTTCAACGTCAGCGTAGTATCCAGGCCACTGCTGATCCGCACACTTGAAGGACGTGGCAGGGATGGAGGTCAAAATAGGGTAGTCGGTGTCAGGGTTGCCGGGGATAGCGGAGTAGTCACCACCTTCGTAGCTACCATCATCGTTACCAGAAGAAGATACGCCACCAGATGAAGGGCCAAAGTTGCTGGAGCCACCGGTTGAAGGACCAAAGCTGCTGGAGCCACCAGTTGAAGGTCCAAAGTTGTTGGAACCTCCAGTGGAAGGTCCAAAGTTGCTAGAGCCACCAGTGGAGGGACCAAAGTTGCTAGAGCCACCAGTGGTGGGACCAAAGTTGCTAGAGCCACCAGTCGAAGGCCCAAGGTTGGAAGAACCTCCAGTTGAAGGCCCGAAATTGCTAGAGCCACCGGTTGCGGGTCCAAAGTTGTTAGATCCACCTGATGAGGGACCAAAGCTGGAAGATCCAGTAGATGTAGTACCGGCATTGTTGCTGCCAATGACAGGTCTGATTCCAGAAGATCCAGAGGTAGAACCGCTGTTGAAGGTTCCAGAAGTGGGGCCAGACGGTCCGGTTCCAGCGAAGGCACCAGTGGAAGAAGGTCCAGAGGGCACATTGATGGTTCCCAAATTACCAGCAGACTGCGAGCTGCCCTGGTTGAATGACGATCCAAAAGTAGTTCCGAAGGGTGTGTTGGTGGTGGTATCGCCTCCAAATTCATCGTTGGAAACGAAAGGGGTGGTGTTTGGTGGCCTCTGGTACTGGTAGCCGTTGGTGCCAACATTCTGGTTGTTGTTGTTGTAAACCTGTTGGTTCTGCTGCTGGAAGCCCTGAGGACGGTTGTTCTGTCCAGTCGATTGCTGGTAACCACCCTGCTGGTTCTGCTGGGGCCTGGTGGTCTGTTGTTGCTGGGTGAAGTCGTTGCTCACAAAAGAGGTGGTAGGACGCTGGGGACGCTGGCCGTTGCTTTGGGTCTGCTGGTTGGCGCCACTGGACTGCTGCTGGGGTTTGTTGCCCGTGGTAAAGCCTTGGCTGGGCTTGGGATAGTCATAGCCTCTCTGGGCCGCTGCTGTGGCAATGCACAGAGCTGCAACGAAATGAAATTTGCAATTAAAAAATGAATAAAAAGAAGCAATAACTAAAATAAAGTTTTAAAATGCTATTGTTTTAGTAAAAAAAGTGATAAAATAATTTTTTAATAAGAAGTAAGCGCAATGATTAATGAAATTTTAACACGCTTATAAGATAGATAAATAATGTAGTAAGTTTTGCAATAATATGCTTTTAATGCGCACAAATTAGTTCCGCGGCAAAATAAAAACTAAATTATTGAAACCGTAAATTAAGGAAGTTCCAAATTTAAGTTCGCAAAACTTTTACTTTAATATTAAGTTTCAATTAAGAAGCAATCACTGCGCTTTTCATCAGAGTCAAAATTTCCTTTGTTTTGAAAGTGGCTCAACTCAACGGAACAATATGACATTTCACTATCTTTGTTTATTTTTTTTAGCGGAAAATAAATAGGCCAAGTCTATGCAAATTCGCGGGATGCGTAACAACAAGGTCTGATGTGGCAAAACCGAAACAAAACATATAATTGAAACGCATCGAAAGCCACGAGGGGCCACGTAATTAATTTGTTCACAGCTTTAGCCGAGTGCAACTCATTTGGTATTCAAAGCGACCGGAGATGCGTACACATTTAAAAAGCAAGAGGCGGGAGAATGCGAAGGAAAGGACGAGCGAGTTTGCGACTCTCACAAAGTGAATGAGCGTGTGTGTGAATGAGGCTGTATCGCGCGAGCATCTACATCTTTCTTATGTAATTCCGAATACCCGCGGTGCAGAATTACTCCACTGCCTGAGATTTGCATGCATTGTCTTTCTTACTTAGCTCTTAATTATATCTTTCTCTGCGGCCAAATTGAAGTCGCACCGATAATTTATTTATTGTGCGGCCTTGCAGAGTTCACGGGACTCGCGATCTTTCGGTAATTGACTGCTGAAATGCGATTGTGCACCGCTAATTTGGCGCGTCCAATCGCGAATGGGAGATCAGCGAACAATCAAAAGTGGCACTTACCTAGGATGAGAGGAGCGCACTTCATGGCTACTGCGGTCGTTGCGTCTTCTGCTTTATGGTCGGCGCTGCCTAAAAATTGAAAGCATTGCGAAAGGCTTAGCTTTATGGAAAATTGGTCATTTTTAGCAACGATTTGGAAAATGAAAGTGCGTATTGCGCAATTCATCATAATCATTGTTTTAAATTTGTAGGAAAAATTTTAATAAACAAATTTTTTGATATTATTATTGACTTTTGGAAGACAGGAGAAAAAATGAAATCAAACGGATATAAACAGTGATTTATGGCTTGATGCTCTTCATTGATATAAATTAGATAAAACCATTTTTTTAGCTCCATAATTAGATGCAAATATATTTATTAAAAATGTAATTGAATAAAATTGCAATAAAATTTAATTTTTTTTTTAATATGCGCCTTTATTTTAGAATATCTGAAGAGATTAAATAACTTTTGATGGAGCCAACAATAAGATTGTGTCAGTTTACACGTGTAGCAAGATCAGTATATTATAATATTTAATCTTTAACATATTTCATCAAAAAATTTTTCTTTTTAAATAAAATCTGTATCAATTTTACACTTTAAAATATTAATTATGAAATAATTTTTCAATTTTGTAATTGAAATTCCTATATTATTATGGATTGCATAATTATATAATGTTAATCAAACACATCATTAGCAGTGCAAATAATATTGCGTGCAGCATATATTGAGTAGGCAATGATTGAATAGAATGATTTGTACATTAAAAACATTTAAAGCCCATTAAACAATTTGAGTTTGATTTTTTAAATTTATTGTTACATTGAAAATTATGTTGCTGCAAATAATATTGAAATAAAAATATTATATAAAAAATATAATTAACAATAAGATAAACAATTGTAAAATATTTTAAAATAAAATAAATTTAAAATAAAACTGTTTAAATGACTTGTTCATATTACAAATTGTGCTGCATGTACAAAATCAACCCACGGAAGCTGGTCTGAAATTATACTTAATATTTTGTCCAGTACGTATGCGTGTTTTGAAATTAAAACTTTTCAAATTATGTACAATGAACAATAAAAATAAAATCGAATTCAGGACTCACTTGTTGTGTGTGCACGTGGAAAAGAGCACCAAGAAGAAGAAGATGCACTACTGATGGTGGTCCACGGCCCCAGCAGCTATTTATATCGGGCTTCCCTTACCACCGGTGCAAGAGGTGGATGGTCTGGTGGCGGCGGCGGCGGCGGCGGCTCTTGCTTGGCTCGCTAAGGTTACCGCAGACAGAAAGTGAAATGATGCGCAGGAGGTGCTCTATCTGCTGGAAACGAGAAACGTAACCGCGAGTCACGCTCCTTCGGTTTATCGCGCTGCTCGCCATCACCTCTCTTCGAAAAATGATAATTGCACACTTTTCGCGTATGATCCGCTCATTATTCGCCGGCCGCCATTAATTATCGACTCTAAATTTCCTCTCGCCGAAATGTTTGTTTAATAGCTCGTCGGCGGAGAAGGGCGATTCAGGAAGCATAAAAATAATTTTGATTTTTTTTCACTCCGACCGGCTGTCGATCGGAAGATACTTCAACGTCAAACGAGCGAGCACTTTTCATGCCGGCAACGATAGAATCTAATTGCGTTTGCAAAAGGCAATTTGTTTGATTCGCAGTGGATCGATCACTTTTACTGTGTACGTTGATGGAAATTTGTTGCTTACATTTGCACGCACGGTGCTTTATGATATGGAAACGAAAAATTCATGAAATCATCCACACGTCATCATCAATGAAAGAGGGCAATTTTGATGAAATCTTTTTTTCTATCCTTATTTTTACAAGTACATCTTGATTATAATAGCTTGTTTTGCTTGTTTTTTCCAGCTCGGAAATTTCAGGTCAATTTCATTTATTTTGTTCAGCTTTGAGGAGTAAATTTTTTTTAATAAAAATTCTAGGTTTTTATTTTATTTTTTCTTACCATTTTGTCAAAATTGTTCTAAATTATTCAAATAAATATTCTCATTAGATAGCAAAAGCAATTTTTGCAATAATTAACTCTCTATTTGAAATAATTCCTAAAAATCTGTATCTTGTTTGTCTTGTTTTTAAAAAGGCTTCTTCAATTTTCATAGAAACTTTGCCAAAGTTAAAAAAAAAATTAAAATATTTAACTGTTTCATTTTTATAATTAAATTATATCCTAGCTTTGAAAATTTTCAGCAGGAATTTTGCAATTTTTAATTAATTTTTATCCCAATTAGTTCATCATAAATTTTCATTAGAGTAAATAAACTCTGGCCAAAGCTCTTCCATTAATTAAAACAAGGATCAGCGATTATCTCAAAGATCCTCCAAACACATTATCTCATCATCGTGTTGTACTTTTCCCTTTGTTTTGAAAGTGAAAACCGAATCAAGTGGTTTTCGGGCACCGGCGGAGAATAATGACCTTGTCAAGAGGCATGTCACTTAGTGTTGCAAGGCCACGAACTCATCATCGCGCTGCACCTCTTCTCTCCGGTGCACGCAGTTGACGAGAGGCATAGAAGGAAAAAATAAATAAAATAATTCGGCGGCCGTTTGGTCCATCAGTCACATTGTCAGAATGTTTGATTGCCGCATAAAAACGAACGCTTGCATGTTTCGGAACGAACGGCTGCCGCCAAATGAGAAGCCACTTTTATTACTTCCGAGGGTTCATCGCGGTTCACCGACTTCTGAAAATGATTTTTAATAGCTCTTTCTCCCGTGCTTTTAAACGTTTAAGTTTAATAAAAAAATACCTAAAATTAAAAAAAAATACAACTGCTTACAATCTTGGATGTGAAATAATCGCAAAAGAACACACAGTTTTTGCAAATTGAAGTATTAAAATTGATTTAATTTTTAACTTTATGCATTAAATTATAGTATATGTCAAAATATAAGTATAAAATTTGTATCGCGAATCAATTTATAAAAAAAAAATGCAAATGTTTTATTTGTTTTATATTATAGGAGCTTTCAATCAAGAATACTTGCCAAAACCGGCATAAGAGGGCAGATTAAAGTAAATTTTCAGCGTTGTGAATTTAAATTGATATAAACTAGTTGCAAATTGTGTTTATTGATCTATCACAATTGATATAAACTAATTCAAATTTGCTTATCAGCAAAAAAGGTAAAAAATGTGGAGAAAAATTGAATGTATTTTTATTTTATTTGATCAATGAAATTTGTATTGCAATAATTAACACGATTCTCGCGCTTCTCACACATTCCAAGCAACGCGGTTTCAAAATGTGTGAAAATGCAGCTGGACTGTCTTTCATAGCAGAGTATTATTTATTTCTTGTGCCATACGCGCTCGCCGCGAGTGCAATACTATCGCGCAGGCAATCAGAAGTGTGCGTGTGTCTGTGGCGGATATCAAATGTCAATCCGAGCGACAGGTTTTATTCACTGTACCCTTTCCCGCAGGAATGTGTGTAAGTTGTGAATGAGAAGAAGTTCGATCCGGCGACCGGTGTCTATTTTCTCGCGATTTACACGCAACCGAGATAAATTAAATATATGTGCACGATCGCGGTTTATTATATTATTATTGCTCGGCGGCTGCAGATGCGCCGACTTTTATTTCATCACATGCCGTAAATAACTCTCGCAGTTAGTCGATTATTTAGAATAATAGGCGAGTTATTGGTTATTCAATTTTTTAGGAGAAGAAGAGCTTAAAATTCAATGCTCATTTGTTTTTTGTAAAGAAGAGAGGCCACGGCCTAGCCCCGAATAGTTTTTTTTTCTCTAAGGAAACAAGTGTAATCAAAATTTATTGGCCTTACTAAGCAAACCTGCAAATTTCCTCAGAAACCGTGCGCCAAATGATTTTCACGTCGATTATTTACAAACATTCATCGCGCAGTTATGATTTTTATATAAAATTTTATTCTTTCCTAGAAAAGCCTACATTCCGAAGTGAAAAGTATTATAGATTTCTTGCAAAATGAACCTCAAAGAAGGAAATTTTTACATTGATGAATAATAATTTTTGAGGAAATGAAACAAACCACTTAAATATTAAAAGCCTTTCACGTCAAGTGCACTCTCAGAAAGAATTAATTAATTTAATTTTTTGCTCTTGCAATTAACCTCCTGGTGATGATACTGTGGATAATGATACCCTTTAGATCTTATCAAGCAGATAACGGAAAGATGATCTTTTAATTGTCCGACTGCGCTGACAGGCGGCTGATGGCTTTTTGCGTGAGCCTATTAAATGCATCTCTTGAAAATAGATGATGCACCTTCATGGTCGGCGGGTTTTGTTCATTTCCTAGTCAGATCTGTTGTACAATCAAAAAGTTTAAAACATCATTTTTTCCTATTACTAATTTTAAAACCCCCACAATATAAAACAAGGATTCCAGGGAATTTTGAAATCTTCACATTAGAGTATAGCTGAGTAAAGCATTAAACTTCTCACTTCTTGATCGGAGAGCTGAAACTAAATTATTAAAACAAACCACTTGTTTGGCAAAAGATTAAGTTAAATAAAACAAATAATAACAAATTAAAACTATAACCGTATTATAAAGTTCATCATTAAAAGTTAATACTTTAATAATTATAATTATATTTGTGAAGTACCGTAACTTTTACAGTTTGAATTGTCTAATCACGTTAAGAAAGCATTTTAAAAATTAAAAGTTTGCTCTCCAAAAACATTTGTTTTGTGACTTTTGTATTTTTTTTTTTAGAAGAGTGAAAAGAGAGTTTCAACAAAAAGTAATGTTAATTTTTTGACCAATATTTATTTTATCTTGCTGGATGCGGTATGTGGAAGAGAACCCTCAAAAAGATTAATTGATGAATTAATGAATAAAATTTGATTTATTTATTTTTTACTTTATAACGTTTGGTCAATTTTAAATCTACAATTATTCAGTTTCGAGGTTACATTATATTACTTTCAAATGATGTGCTCTGAATGCGAACTTTTTGTTACTAAAAACTTAATTTTTGAAGTATAAGCCAACAAGGGTAAAATAATAATAAGCTAGTTGTCCTTCGCAGCGCTTAAGCAAAGGATAAAAGAGTTAAAAATAAATGACTAATTTTTATCTTAGTTTTTAATATAAAATACAAATTTTTTAATTGGTTTATAAAATAATCAATTTCAAGGTGATCAGGCAAAGATACGAAGGCAATTAAACCTGTTGTTTAGAATTGCAAAAAAAAGTACGTACATTTTACTTAAGCAAAAAAATATTGTTAAATTACGCATGTCACATCTTAAACTAGATAAATAATGTGTAATGTCCGACAAAAGTAAGCGTGTCTAGCCAGCATTCACTTTTTAGCTTTTCAAAATAATTCTCATTCAACTCTCGTCAACTACAATGAAAGCAACTCATCATCATTATTTTTTGTTACGTGCATGTGATGACGCAACAAATATCTCACTCAATGCGATCTGCGATGTGCAACAACAATAATTATGGTCAAGGGGTGTGCGGAGGAGAGGTTATTCGCATTCGATCTATTAATGTAGTACCGCACCGACGCTTCGAGAAAAAAAATCTAGTGATTTCTCTCCGTTGATCGAGTGGCGGTTGGCGCGATTCATCCTGCGGCTCTCCGCAATGCACATAATATATAATCTGGTTTCTTTCTTTCTTTCTACGTCTTGCAAAAGAGGCCCATCCTCTCAATAGCTAATTACTTTCGCGCTTTCATTGTGTCAATTTGCATTCGCGATCAAGGCGAAGGAATCTATATATTCTCATTAGCGCGGCATTCAAGGCAGGAGAGGGACAAGTCGATTAAAAATTCACTCTTTTGTCAGACAGAGATTCGTTTATACAAATTTATTTTTTGTTTTGTTTGCGATTTGCGTTGCGGCACTCAATTATGTTATTTTCCAATACTGAGAACTGAGCTGCCGATTTGACGGACAGATTGTGCTCATCTCTTGTCCGTTTCAAGACAATATGTTTACTAGAGCTGTTGCGTCATAGACTAAATTTTACACGCATTAATTATTTCCTAGGTCGTGATCTCAATTCAGTCGTCTAATTAACATACAGTATTAACAAAGTGGCTCTCTATAAAAAAAGTTTTTATGTTGTCTCTCAAATGTGTTATTTGGAAATTTATGCGATTGCGTACATTTTTCAAGAAATCTTTATTGACA